AAGATAATTTCCTTACTCAGAGAGTGATCTCAGCGTTCTCAAAGGTGGCTGGATCCAAACCCCCACCGCTCAGTGCAAGACTCAGTTGATCCCACTTGTGAGAGGCGGTCCGGAAAGGTCCAGTTTCCTGCTGAGCAGAGTTCGGAAGAACTCTGCACCAAACTCAATATACCCTTGAATAAAAAACGTTGAACTTTAATATTGTGTCTCTCTGTTTGGCTTCATTGCATGTGGGTCCGAGCCTTAGATAAATCATGACAGGCTGTACAGATCTCTCAGTTTAAATTTTGCTCTTTAAATGTAACGTTTTGGAATCCCCTGTTACGTTTGGTTTATTCTTCAGCTATTAAGTAAAAAGAAATTGATTTTGAAATTATTTTACTATCTCCTGGTCAAGTTTGACAGGAATTTACAGTTTACTTTTACCACCAATCTTATTCTGCAGCTTTTTTTCTTAGGGTTTGTAATGCCTGCAAATGTAATAAGTCTCCAAAATATAATAAACCACGAATGTGATAAAAATATCTAGCTTTTAGTATAATAATCTTGCAAACATAATACATATCCCACAAATGTAAAAGATGCTTCCTGAGATGGATTAAGTCCATGTGTTGCTTGTTTATTCTTTTTTGTATTAAAAAAACCCCAATGAAAATAAGAAAACTTTCCAAACCAGATAAACAAGATCAGCTGTTCTAGTACAAGCTCCAAACCCCCTTTTAAAAAAAATTTCTGTAAAGTCAGTGTAATTAAATTCAGTAAAATCAGTAATTACAAAATTTAAAATGTAAAACTTGTATTTGGCTGAATCAGTGTTGTTTTTGACAGCCATCTTAGATTAAGTTCAGGATGAAAGCTATTATTAGTTTTAATTGCATTTAAGTCATTAAGATATGTTATGATATGTCAGTTTTAGTCAACTAAAACTTAAAAAGGATTTAGTCTAATTCTGTTTTATTTTGCAAAAAAGTTAACTTTTACAATTTTAAATAACAACAAGATTCTTTGCCAGACTGACAACTCTTGGCTCGATACTACAATTGCTGGGTATAGAATGCCACCATGCAGTTCATCATTGCTGTTGGGCAGAAAACTTTGATTTATAGAGTTGAAATAATCTTGTTTTTATTAATGAATGCCCTACTTAGTAAAAACGTGTGTCACAAAAGTTGTGAAAATAGCAGATCCAGTTCAACACATCATATAGGTTAATGTAGCAGACAGACAAGCTAACAAAATGTACAATAAAGGAATGGTTTTAGACATATAATGTTTCCATCCCAAAGCAAACACTTTAATTACTCAAAAAAAAAAAAAAACAGAACAAAAACATTCTTCTTTCTACTTTTGCAATTTAGGCTTTATTTCTTCCATTTACCCCTCGGTTACTGCTGCTCAGGGGTCAAATTAGATTTATATTCACAGGGGTTTTAAATAAAAAAAAAAATATTACAGAGAGATCCTACATGATTGCATTGTAATGTCATGGCAATCCAGACCTAAATTGAAGGACTATGCTTACTAAAATGTTCAAATATTTAAAGGAAACAGAGAAAATGTTTTAATCACAATACAAGGAAACATTTACATCATATTTAAATAGATAGAAACAAGAACCGTGAGACAAAAGTATTCAAAGATCTATGTACCTTTTTACCTAGCTCTTTATCCAAAAATAAAGAGTATGCAATGTAATTTTCTTTGGATATAATTTAGGGATTCCTTTTGGTAGAAATTAAATGTTTAGCATCACCTCTTGTGAGATGGAAGAAATAAAATCTTGATAGTTGGACATAAGGACTTTTTATATTGGCAGAGGATGATCAGCCACATATGCTGCTCTGGCTTCTTTATTAAGTAGCCAGAGCACAAACGCTGTGTAGTGCATAAAGCACAGAATCTGAGCTTACACATATTTCTGCACAAGCACAACTGGAGGAGCAGAGTTTGTCAGAGTTCAGCACGCAGTACCAGACCTTTCTGGGTTATTTTCTCCCTGCCACTGCTGCCATGGTCCATCTGTGCTCATGCAGAATGTGCACCGCTGCACTGCAGGTTGGCGGCATGACCAAACTAGACGGATCAGCACAGCGATACTGCACAGCTTGTCTAACAATTAAAGAACAACTATGCATTTTAAACATCTGACAGACCCCAGCAAAGACTATTTAGTCTAGTCTCGACTCGTCAATGAAAACACATTCATGAGTCGTCAAGTTTTCGTCAACAAAGATCCATGTTTAGCACCTCAGTTTTTGCTGTAGTCATGAAAAAAAGGAGCGTCAACGAAATAATTTGGTCATTGTCAATGAAATCAACACTGGGCTGAATACGCTGATGAAGATTCTCAGTCATCCAGGTCACAGTCTGTTTAAGGTTTGTTAAGAAAAACCGACCTTAAACAATTGAGTTTATCCCTTCCCTCAATCATCACAGCCCCAGACGGAATGCAGCAGAGCGGAGGACCTCGCCTATTCAGCAAGGCCAATAATTCCCTTAAAGGAATGGTACACCCAAAACATGATTAGCCTTCATTTTCTACTCACCCCCATGCTGAACAACACCCTGGAGTACTTTTTTGATATCTCAAATGCATCTGGAGATCTGGGAGGCTTCTTGCTGTCTGCTGACATTCAAATAATGGAGGTCTATGGCGCCCGAGACAGAAAGGTCCATAAAAGTCCACAAAAAACGTGTCAATATTCCTGCATACTGGTCGTCCAATGTATTCCAAGTGTCCTGAGTGGGTAGCATCCAGAATTTACTCGAAACGAAGTCATTTAGAATGTTTTTAGAGCATAAACAGTAGTGTATAGGATTTCCTGAAAGCGCGCACATGCGTGATCACGACACTACGGAAGCCGGCAGACCAAACCAGATGAAAGTGCGCATTCAGCGTCTGCTCTTCCAGTAATGCAAGCGTAGAAGAAGAAATGTGCCGTTTACCTGTGCAAAGAAAGAAACAACGAAAGAAAAATGTCTGAGGACTTCAGTGTTGAGGAAGAGCATGAGTTCTTTGTCGAGCTGAATGCGCTGGTTTGGTCTGCCGGCTACCCCCATCCCAAAGGGGTGGAGCCCTTCTTCCGTACCACTTTGCATGTTTTCAAAACAAAATCAAAGGTTTCTTGGGCTACTGTATAAACCCTCAAACTGAACGCTATTCCTGACATTTTTAATTAAGAAAGCTTCCTGGATGAGAAGCAAAATGTCTTCAAACTGGGAAACACTGTCCAGTTTTCTTTTTTTGGATTGGGCTGAATAGCCTATTAAAAAAAACAGTGTGTTCAAAAAATAAAGTTCTAGAAACATCCTTTTTCATGCCTATCAAAGAGCACTGTACATGCATAAATCTATAATCTAACAGGAAGAAAAAAAAATGTAGTGGCTCAAATAATTTATCAGTCTTGGCTTCCAGAACTATAAACCTCTCTGTTTTGCAACAGCCCTGCCATCCATCATACACAGAGCTTAAATGTATAGTGGAGGAATTTTGCAGTTGTTTGAAAAGACCTGTCTTCAATAAAAAAAAAAAAAAAATGCACATTCATAACCCTGTATCCGCTCCCGAGATGGAACGCCTATTTAATGCGTACGAGAGCATGCACAAGCACATTTCTCCTTGTGCACATTCTGTTAAAAAGTTGTGGTTTGCATCGGTCATACATACTTTCCAAAAGAAGATTTGCAATTCTTCATTAGGCTTTATGTAAAAATATCACTAGAATGATTGACAATTAGAAGGTCCATCTATTTTGATGATCCATCCAGAAAAAGAACATCCAATTTATTATTTTTTTTCTTGCTCCAGTAACGTGAGATGAGGTTCATGATGAGGCACTAAGACCTTTAGAGTCCATCCATTTTCTTCTGCTTTATCCAGGGCTGGGTAGCGGAGGCAGCAGTCTAAGTAGAGATGCCCAGGCTAGCTCAGAGACATAGTTCCTCCTGCATGTCCTGGGCCTTCCACAAGGCCTCCTCCCAATGGGAAATGCCAGGAACACCTCCCGAGGGAGGCGACCAGGAGGCATCCGAAACGGATGCCCGAGCCACCTCTGCAGGCTCCTTTTGACTCTACTCCGAGCTCCCCCCCCCGAACTCAAAGGGTGTCAGCAGATATCCTGAAAAGTAAGCTACTTTCGGTCTCCTGTATTCGTGATCTTGTCCTTTCAGTCATTATCCAGAATTCATGACCATAGGTGATGGTGAGAATCGATCAGTACATCGAGAGCTTTGCCCCTACCTCAGCTCCCTCTTCCTCACAATAGTCTGATACAGCGACTGCTGTATCACTGCCGACGCTGCACTGCCGTCTATCGATCTCATGCCCCACTCCCTCACTCGTGAACACCGTGAGGTGGTTCTCTATTAGGCTGCCTTTATCTCTGCCGAAAGACAGGAGCCACATTGGGGAGGGAGTGGTGGAAAAATATTTCACACTTTATCCTTTACAGGATACAGTTTGATATATTAAAAAAACCTCAGCACAAGAAAAGCACATATAAACACAAGACAAAAATTTCAGCAGAGGGTCCCATCGGAGGCTGGAGCCACATGAAATTCAAACTGAAATTTGAGCATTAGTTGTTGGTGTTCAATTTGTCCATGAACACTGTCCACAGGCCTTTATCCTTGATAAGATTGAAGTTAATCAACACGTACAGTTCTGGATGCATCCATAGATGTTCACTGGTAGGCCGAATCCAAAATAACACTTATTGTTTTGAGAGTAGCCTGCACAGGAATTTGCCATCAGCCTTGAGTCTTTTCTTGCTGGCTCTACATGGCCAATCCAATATTCCAAATTGAGATAGGCTGTTCTGCCTTGAAGCGAGCATGCACATCCAAGATATTATCCCATCGTACCTTTGAGTTCAACCACCACAGCCAGCCTGCGTTCAATCACACATATGGCTCAGCTCCCAGTCCTGCTTGTTCACAGCTTTTCTGAGTGCATCAACCACTGCCAGCTACCTGGTCAATGCCCAAACTGCCGCCAACATCCTCTGTAATTTTAGATACATCAGGTATCCTCCAAATCCAAACAGGAGAAATCAGAGTATCATAGACTAAAAAATCCATACATCTTTGATATCCTCCAATGACAACATTCTAAAACACACCATTCTCCAAACCCTCCAGGAGTCCATGGTGTATCCCACAAAGTATGTCCTGGCAGGACAGGAAGGGTCGCCTTTTCCCTGTTTTCCAGTTGAGAAAATGTGATCAATTCCATTGAGAGACCAGTCAATCAGATTGATTGTTTGAATTAGGTTTATATGAAGGGAGAGCTCAGAAAAGACAAGACACAGCAAAGCAGGGACAGATCAGGGATTTGCAGAGCACCAGGAAAATGCGGCCGCCTCCTTCAAGAGTCAGAACAGAAGGGACTCTTGAAGTTTCAGCTCAAGACCCCTGCACTTGTTCAGCCACAAAATTATAAAAGTTTTATATACGCTGCTTGTGGCAATATGGGCTCTAAGTTTATTAGCCCAGTATAAAAAAAGAATATGTGGGCTTAAATATATAATAAGCATTCTTGATTAAATGTTTATCTTGGAGCAAATGTCGCATACTGTAAGGTCACTTCGCTGCTGTATTATTTGGTAGTTGGTGCTTTAAGTTTAAATTCCATTACAATAATAATGTATTGGTTTTGCAGCTTGGATAAAATTATTGAAACTAAATAAAGAAATCAGATTTCTGGTGTTATTTTAAACTTGAGGATTTGGAAATAAAGTTCACATACCTCTATCAGAGCACTACCTGTTCTATCTGAATGGTTTTCCAATGCTTGCAAGAAAACTAGCAGCAGTAGTGAAGTTTGGAAATGCAATCCACTTTAAATCTATCTCTGCTCACCTGTAATTTACCCAGAAGTACTGCAATCAAACTTTTCTCTCACCCCAAAGTTGGTGGATCAACTGCAAATTTAGCATGGCTTCCCTGAAACTGGGTTTCAAAATTACTCTTTTTATTATTTGACAATATCTCATTACAAAGCTATGAAAGATATGCAGGCAATCCTTCCTCATTGGTAATGAAAGCAAATGATTTGGTCCATTTTTCTTTCTGAAACGTGTGTCACGGGCTATGACACAATTCTGTGTTGACAGAAAAGTTTAAATTTATTGTTTAAATGTAATTAGAATAGAATAGGAAATCCCTTTATTGTCCCACAATGGCGAAATTGTGGTGTTTCAGCAGCTGCAAAAGGTTATTGCAGAAGTGGTCGCTCATTTTGGACCTCAGGAAAGTGTATTAAAAAAAAATAATAATAAGTTAAAGAGTTAAGAAAATAAAGAAATAAAGTACTGCACTGTATTCTGTTTTTTGACTCCCTGAACACCATATTAAAACATGTTTTTTTCATTTACAAATTTCTGAAAAATCTCCAGGGAGCCGCAGGTTGCAAACCGCTGTACTAGTGTAACTAACTTCCTGAGTTCTGCCACCACTGCATTGCAGAGAGAGAAGAAAATAAGATTGACAAAGAGAGAGAGAGCAAGAGAGAGAGATGAGAGACATATAATATAAAGAGATTCATTTATAGAGCAGGGAGACTTCAGTAATTCACCGCTGTCTTTCTTAGTTTTCTAATGATGGAAACCTTTGAAGAAGATGAATTCTGCTTTCCACAACTGCTCAATTCATCTTGCAGGAAGACCATGCTTTCTCCTTCAGTATTCTTGCTGAGTTACGTTAGTCTATCCTTCATTTCTTTGCTTACCGTGACTCTTAACCTGCTTGTCATCATTGCTGTCTCCCACTTTAAGTAATACAATGTTTTACCTCTTTAAAAATATATTTCAAACCATTGTTTTTCACTTTAGCACAACAACCCTTTCATGTGCTTGAAATACAAATGCAATTACATGATATAATGAGTGTTTTTTTTTTTTTTTCTAATTTCTGTAGGAAGCTGCACAGTCCCACCAACACCCTATTGCTCTCGCTGGCTGTTTCAGACTGCATGGTGGGATTCCTCATTTCATTTCAAATCATGCTGCTAGATGGGTGCTGGTATCTTGGGGACAGCATGTGTGCCCTCTATGTTGTTTTGGATTATGCTGTCACCTCTGCTTCAATTGGAACTATGGTGCTTATTTCGGTTGACCGTTACGTGGCCATTTGTTACCCCCTGTATTACCCCAGCAAAGTCACAGACACACGAACAAAAATATGTGTATTCCTGTGTTGGATGTTTGCTTTTCTTTGTCACTGCCTGCTGCTAAAGGACAGTTTGCAAAAACCAGGCAGGTATAATTCCTGTTTTGGAGAATGCGTTGTTGTCCTCGATTATGTTGGGGGGATTGTTGATCTCTTGTTGTCGTTTATTGGCCCCGTCACTGCCATCCTGGTTCTGTATTTAAGAGTGTTTGTGGTGGTTGTATCTCAGGCTCAAGCCATGAAGTCTCATGTCGCAACTGTCTCACTCCAGGGTTCAGTTACAGTCACTGCTAAGAAATCTGAAATGAAGGCAGCTCTTATCCTTGGGATTGTTGTAGTTGTGTTTCTGATTTGCACCTGTCCATATTTTTGTGTTATTCTTATGGCAGAAGATGCTGAAGTCAGTGCTTCCTCTGTGACCTTTCTTCTGTTTTATTTTAATTCCACAGTGAACCCTTTGATCTATGCCCTCTTTTACCCCTGGTTTAGGAAATCAGTCAAACTAATTCTTACGCTGCAGATCTTAAAGTCTAACTCAACTGACACTTTTGTCTTGTAATTACAGTTTTTGTCAATGATACCAAGAAGACAGATAGTACACTAGAAACCTAAAACATAAATGGCATTGATTGTTATTGTCATTGATATTTGGACCTAAGCTTTCCTATATCATCCATCACCTGTAAATGGGAAAGATAATGTTTGGTTTTTTTGGAGCAACATAAAGTAACACTTATTTTTAGTTTTCATCCCAGTGATAATTAAAAAGCAAGTAGGCAAAGTTTTTACACTTTCAGTCTTAAGTCATAAGCAGATCTAATGTTTGATTCAAAATGCTAATTAATGATGACAAAAAGGATATTTAACCGAAGTTTGTACAGTTTTAATATAAAGCTATATTATTAGCTTTAGCTTCAACATTTTCTCATCTAATATTTCTCAAATATCTGTTTAATTTTTTATCTTCTGGATTCAACAGTTTGTGCAAACTGCTTGTGCAAAGGCATGAATTCACAACAAATAAAAAAATCCTGCAATCACGAAAACGAAACTTGCAGATGTGGGCTTTTTGTGTGGGTGGCTTCACTTGGTGTATTAAAAAAAAAAGGAATAGCTATGGCACCAGGTACTTTAATCCTCCATCTGCATTTACATACAAAGAGCACAGAAGTAACACCAGTCTCTCATACAAAGTGCTCTATCTAAAAATAGGTGTTATAAAATTACTGAACAGCATTTCTTACTACTTTACATCAGCAAAACACTTAAAGTAAGAAAAAAACAAAAGACCTACAAAACTACTATGTTTCAGTTATATTGTTCAGTATTACCCATATGGGCAAACTATAAACATGTTTCCAAGAACAACAACAATCATCTTTGCTTATCGGACATTGCAGAGAGAAGTCACCTCATAAAACTTCACTTTTTAAGGGTTAACTTTTGACCAGCAGATGGATTTCAGCTAAATTTAAATAGAACCACTAACAGACAAACTTCCAGCACAAGCAAATGAGAACGACTGCAAAGGACAAATTGTGAAATAACAGAAAACAAAGAGGTTAAAATAAAAAACATACATCCAAACAAAAACCTAATGAAAACACATAAATGAAGTGCTGTTAACCAATATGAGGAGATAATCATCAACTCGTATGTTTGGCAATTTATAGCAGTTTTCTATTCTGTAATAAATAAGTAATTCAATTACTATTGTGTTTATTTCAATGATGTGTATAATTTCGAAATGTTGTGTAGAAATTTGTTGGATTTTGTTTTTATTTAGATCACTTTAAAACCAATATTCCATTTAATGTTCTATGTCTGTACACTGTTCATGCAAGGCAATATATCATGGCTGCGCTATTCACATTAGCCATGTTTAGCCTTGTTTGAAACCTTAATCTATTGACTATAAAGCCAAACAGGGCATGTTGTCTTAACCAATGACAGCAGGACTTAATGAGGCATGATATCGCTCTACTCGGCATGTCATTGGCTGACAGGCAAGGAGCACGTGTTATACTTTGGGGGCTGTCCCTGAGTCAAATCGAATCATATACAAAGATGCAGACACTTTTGTTTTTTACGCAGGAAGGTGATGAAAACAAAATTACCCAAAATCAAAGGAATATATTGGAGAAAGTCAGTCTTATGAACAAAATGCTAAGTTTAGCTATGACCAGTGAACTTTTTTCATGGTAAAAGGCAAATGTTATATGGCCATTTTCTTATCACAGAATATTTGTATTATGTAAATTCTGGATTACTTTTATCTGTGGACCCTTATGGTTGAATGAATTATAAGCAACTGAAGATTCCTCTTTTCTTATTAGTCACAGGCTAGCGGACCGCAGTCCAG